TCAAGCCATACAGTTATATGTAAAAGATGAGCAAGGCAATGATCCTGAGAATCTTCAGAAGATTTTTTAATCTAGCAGTTAATTGGAAAGATTCTCAACCTGACTAACCATATATACTAATACCTGTGAACTAAGCTACTGCACTGCAAATGGTAATCTGTAATAGTAGTTTCATGCTTGGAGTGCCTGTCATTCTGATCTTCTGAATATGGGCTGCTTGTCATGACATGCTATTTGCTGCTATGATGTCTCTTGGGTAGGTGGTTGTTCAAAAAGAAGGGGGTGTTGAATGAAAGCAAGAGACAGGAAAAGAAATATTGTAGGACTGTCCTGCTTCAAGGTTGTATATGGTGAGATTTTTTGGACTTATGTGTAAACATAAGAAGTATATAATCCTTTATCCCTATTTTTAAAATATATTCTAATTTTTAAATGTTTTTTATCATGTTCTGTTGGGACTTAAAGTTCATCATATCAATACTTGATGAAAAATACCTGTTCCATATTATGCCTAAGATGTTCGATATGCAGACAGATAGTGAGATTAAGCTTAATAGCCTAGGTTGTATGGTAATAACAATAAGCTTGTTTTCTGGATGGTTAGCAACCTAAGTTTTCAGACCAAAATTAGAGAAAAAGGAGGGCCTCAAGGAAAGCCAACATTTTGGCCCTAGCCTTCCAACGTCAATTAAGACTCAGTTCATATGAGAACTTGCACTGTAATGTCATGTAACTAATTAGTGTACCAAATTTTCTGATCAAGGAGACATGGGGCCAAAGAGGAAAGTGATCAATGATGCAGAGTGTGCCTAAGGAGAGTCACATGGGGAGAAGACACTCTCTCAGGCTTTCACAGACAGCACATAGGCCAAGCAATTCCTGTGACTCATCCACACTGCTGACACTGACCATGGTATTACAATCTGAGGTACAGGATCTCAGGATAAATCCTGAGGGGATTTCACTGACCTTTTCAGACCCAAAAGCTACAACTCTTGTTGCATAGGTCTTGCTTTAGCTTGGTCTTAAACATCCAGAAGAATACTATTAAAATCATATATAAGAAGTAAAGCCTTGCTGTTATGTTGAGCTGTAGGAGACTCAGTTCAACAATTTCTGACATTGCCAGTCAAGTGGAAGACCACCAATACTATTGTGGTCTACTGGACTCTTTTAGAATATTTTGCTGAGTTTACCCACCTATAATATTCAAATAACGGAACTTAACAAAAAAGTGTATACGGATGAATGTCCATTTTGTATCTGTGTATTCAAAGCACTTAGGATAGATATATAGTTACATTCTTTTAATGAATAGAGTGATTTGTTCTAATGGTGTTTGTAAATAGTGTATCAAGTCCACATCTTGTACAGCAATTAACCACTAGGAAGGATGTATGCAATGTGTTAATTATTGAAACTTTCCTACTAATTTGGTTTGAAACTATCTCATTGCTATTTGTTTATCAGTGAAATTATGGGACAAAATAATTCCAGTAAATCATGTTCAACTTTAAGTTTCTATTAAAGTGATTTCTTCTTAATTTTCTTTTTTGAACACATTTTTTTCGAAATTAAGCCTTTTCTTTCTGATATCTACATTGCCCTAATAATAGAAACATTATTTTAAAAGAAGAAAATTAGTATGGTAATAAAACTCTGGGATAAGATCTCCTACAGATGACCCATAGAAATAACTAAAAATTAAACTCAAATTGTTTTTAGATCTGGTCATTTTGAGAACCCTTGTTTTATTTGAAAATTCAGTGCTTGCTTCAGCAGCACATATACTGACATTGAAATAATATGGAGATTATTCACATAGCCCAACTGCATGAATGACATGTGAAGACATGAAGCATTCCATATTTTCATGAACTGCAGGGGCGTATCGTAAATGGAAGAGATAACCCCGCCCCTGTGACTTGTGGTTAGAGATGTACTGGAAATTAAAATGTGTGGGAAATTAAAATCTTTGCACCTTGGCACTGTACAGTCCTGGGTTGTCCCCATGCCACTGAGGGTGAGAAGAAAAAAGCATCCCGCAGCAACCCCATCATCTCACTGGAGGAAGTTACAGACTACAACAGAAGCAGGTGATGATGTCAATAGAACTTGTAAAGTGACAAATGGGAAGTGAGCATCCCACCTAGGCATAAAATGAGAACTGGGATGCAAGACAAGGAGCAGAGGACCAGACCATGTCACAGCATCCCTCCTGCAACTGCAAAAAATGATGTGAAAGGACAGAGACTTTCCAGAGGAGCAAAGAAGGCTGCACAAGGACGCAGAGGAGCCAAAGTTGCACAGGACGAGGAACATCACCTTATCTTTTTCAGAAAATAGTACTGGGATTGAGAGATAGATGCTGCCAAGAAAAACAGGATAAGGAGTGGGTGGATGCTAAGGGAGATACAGTAAGTACTGGCTGAAGAGTCTGGGTACATGCCCTCACATCTGGAGGTCAAGATCAGTTTGAAATCCAGCACAAACTCTATTGCAGGCTAGGTAGTATTATCCAGTAGTTTTTGACTCCAGATAGATGCCAGAAAAAAAATTTAATTTATTTTTTTCTTTTCGGGAGTTTTGTTTCTTTTTTTCTCTTCTATCTATATTTTTGTTCTAATTTATTCCTCCTCTTTAGCACTTTGTTAACTTATCTATCTAGACTTACTCATGTTTTCATAAGAGTAAGTGGTCTCCCAGGTAAACTTCCATAATCCCTTGCTTATTTCTTGATTCTTTCTCTTCTGTCCTCTTTTCTAGTTTCACAAAGCTTTCTCAATCATCCTTCATCCCCCAGCCTGATTTCTACTTTATTTCTTTTCAATTATATCTGCTCTATCCCCTATCTTTCTTTAATTTCCCTACTACAAGGTAAAACTACTCTACCAAGGGTAAGCACTTTGACTACAACCTCTAAACATGATTCACTCTGAAAATTCAGAAGAAAAATGTAATCTCATATCTCTGATTCATCCAGAACAAATCCAGAACAATGGAAGACACATACTTGACTTTTCTGACATGATAGCAACCAAAGTAAAGAAACAAATCCATGAGGCTATACAGGAAATCATATCAGAATTAAGCTCCCAGGTAACAAAAACAAATCAACACTCATAAACAGTTGCTTAGCAAATCTAGAGTAGGGACAGATTTAAGAAAAATAGATGATGATAGGAAAAGGATGGACACTATAAATGTTCAATATCAATTAAAAAAAGAACACATGAAGTTAAAAATTCAATCAAAACCTGGCTAAACCACGTGAATTAAACCAAAAATAGACTTTCAGATCTGGACTGCAGGATTATGGCTAGTGATCATAAAAGGAAAGATTTCTTAAAAATAACAATCAGGAGTTAAAAGTTCAACAGCTCCAAGAAAAGGTAAAGAAAATTAATATAAGGCTGAATGGTATCAATGAAAAGGCAAGAATCAACAAAAATGACATAAAAATATTTGCAGAAGTAGCAAAAATTTTCCCAAGCATAGGAATGGAATTTGACACACAGTTAGAGAGGCAGATAGAATTCCAATTAACCATAACCAAATAAATCTAAAATCAGACATATAATAATCAAGGTCTAAGACATTCAGCACAAGAACAGAATATAAAAAGCTATTAGGAAAAAAAATCACCGATAAAGTGAAGCCATTCAAAGACATGGCTGGCTACTCAACACAATTCTCAAAAACAAAAAGAGATTCAAGTTAAATACTACAAGTCCTAAAAGAAAGCATCTTCCAATCTACAGAATTTGCTTTCTTTTATAGAGTACATCAATGAAGCATTGATATATTCTACTTTTGTAGAGTACATCAATGAAACTTATTGGAGAAATATGATACTAAGAAATTCAGCATGACAAAACCAACACTAGAAAGGGTAATAGAGGATATTGTCTATAGAAATAAAAATGACCACAATTCCAAGAACAACAGCAGAAAGAAAGCACCAAACTGAGAAAGAAAGTAAACAGGTGGAGAAAAGCAAAAAATCCACAGAAGGAAAATAACAAGACAAAGATAATCAATAAATATCAGATATGACCATCAGTCTACATGGCCTCAATTCACCAATCAAAATACTGATAATCTGAGTAACCATTTTGAACATATCATGATGCAAAATAATAAGCATTGTTTATTTCTTGACATCCTGTATTGAAATTCTGTATTGATAATTTTTGGTTTATTTCTTTTAAAAATGAGACAGTCTGACAGAATGGATTAAAAAAAAAGATTCAACATTATGTGATATACAACAAACATATTTAATTTAAAAGGAAATTCATTGATTGGAATTCAAATGATGCAAAAATATACTCCATGGAACATATACTAAGGAAAAAAACAGGGGTAGTTATTCTGGTTGCAGACAAGGTGACCTTCAAACCGAGAATGACCACAAGTGATAAAGAAGTTCTCTTAATATTCATTAGGTGAAAATTTCAAAAGGAGGAGATAACAATCCTAAATATTTATGCACCAAATATGGAAGAATTCAGCTAAATATGACAAATATTAATAGACTTGAAAAATCTACTGAGAAATACAATTGTAATAGGGTAACTAGTATACCAGTGTCACAAATTGGTTATGCAGACAAAAAGTCCACAAAAAATATAAGAAATGAACCAAGTCTGTGAATAAATGAACTTAATAGAAGTTTGGATAGTGTTCCACTCACCCACATTAGAATACACATTCTCAGCTGCAGGTGAGAGAGTCTCCAAAATAGATCATATATTAGCCAATAAAACATGCTTAGGTAATTGTAAAAGAATTGAAATTATTCCATGTTTATTTTTCTGACCATTGTGCAATGGAATTGAATCTGACAAAGCAATCAGAAATAGCAAAATAGACAACAAAAACTAGATACAATCATGGAAATTGAGTAACAGCCTTCTGAATAACCAATGGGTAAAAGATAAAAGTAAAGAAAGAATAACAATATCTACAATTGAATGAAAATTCAGAAAAAGCATACTGGAACTTGTGGGACGTACACAAAGTAGTACTAAGAGAGAAATTTGTAGTGGTGAGTTCTCCCATCACAAAACCAGAAGGAGCACAAATGAACAACCTAAACTTGTGGCTCAAGCTTTTGGAAAGTGAAAAGCAAGCTGCAAGCCATACAAGGGAAGAGATTATAAAGATCAGATCAGAAATTAATGCAATTGAGACAAAGAAAAAGACACAAAGAAGGAGTCAAAGAGCTGTATTGTTAATAAATAAATTAAATTAATAAACTCTTAGCCGAAAATATCCAAAAAGAAAAAGACTCAAATTCATGCAATGAAGAATGAAAAGGATGAAGTTATTACAGATCCTTCTGACATTAAGCTGATCATCGATACTCATTTGAATTTATTTTCTATATTAGGATGAAAAACACACAAAATAGAGAGATTATAAGACATATGCATTACCAAAGCTGAATCAGGAAGATATAAAAATTCTGAATAACATACTATTAATCCATAAACTTACCAAAAAAGAAATCCCAAGTCCTGATTTATTCAAGGCTGAATTCTACAAGAAATCTAGAGAAAATTTAATGCCATTATAATTCTAATTGTTTAATGACATTGAAAAAGAAGCAAAGCTGTCTAACTCACTTATGGAGGGAAGTAACCCTGATACCAAAACCACAGAAAGAGCCAATCAAGAACAAAAACTAAAAACCAATCTCTCCAATGAATGTAGATGCAAAGTTCTCCATAATACACTAACAAACAAAATATAAAAAGTCTTCAAGAAAACTATGCCTCATGACCAAGTAGCATTCATCCTAGAAAGTCAGGGATAGTTCATCATATGCAAGTCAACACATGTAGCACACCATGTTAACAGAACCAAAGCCAAAAACCACATGACCATCTCAATAAATGTAGAAAAAGCTTCTGATCAAGTCCAACACTAATTCCTGATGAAACCTCTACAGAAAAATTGAAATTTATTGTCTTCATCTCAATCTAGTAAGAGCTACCTATGTTAACCAAACAGCCAACTTCATTCTAAACAGACAAAAAAATGAAAGATTTCATACTAAAATCAGAAACAAGACAAAGGTGTCTGTCAATATTCCTTTTCAATATAGTTCTGGAAACATTAACCATAGCAATTAAACAAGAGAGAAAAATAAAAGGAATGAGGATAGGAAAAGAAGCAGTAAAATTATCATTATTCACAGATGACCTGATACTTTACCTAAAAGATCTCAAAAGCTCCATCAAAAGACTTTTAGAGTTAATAAGCAAATCCAGTAGCTTAGCTGGATGCAAATTAAAGACTTAAAAGTTGGTAGCATTCCTGTTCATAAACAACAAACTGAGGAGAGACAAATTAAGGAAATGACACACTTCTTCACAGTAGCACCCCAAAAAGCAAAAAGTTTGGATTGAAATCAATCTAACAAAAGAAGCAAAAGATCTATGTCTAAAACTAAAGTAATCTGAGAAAAGATATTGAAGAGTATATCAGAAAATGGAAAGATATCCCTTTCTCCTGACTACAGAGAACTAGCATAGTGAAAATGGTCATTCTTCAAAAATTATTATACAGATTTAATGCAATCTTGCTCAAACTACTGTTAGAATATCTCATTAATCTAAAGAAAATATTCCTAATACTCCTGTGGGACCCGACGAATCTTAGAATAGAAAAAGCAATCCAAGAGAACAAAGAGAAGTCAAGGGACAACAAAATCTCTGATCTGAATTATACTACAAAGCCACTGTTATAAAACCTGCATGATACTGGCAAAAAACCACCCTGATGATCAGTGGGACAGATCAGAAGATACAGACACAACTGCAAACACACTCAGCCACCTCATCTTTAAGAAAGTGGCAAAACATG